TGTATATATATATATATATATATATACAATATCTTTTTTTTTTTAGATATTTTTCCCCTGTTATAAAGAATTATTTAGTTAAGTATTTCACATGATGAGTCAAAGGTATTCCTTCTAGCTTTCATTTTTCTCACAAAGTTATTTACATAATTCTTTAATGTATTCCTGCTATTGTATTTTATTTAATTAATCTATCATACAATAGTTTATCTCATTGTTTAACCTAACTACATTCCCTTTTTATTTTATTACTTAGCTATATTAATTTTTGATCCAGATGTATTTCACAAGCAATGTGGAAGTGACTATCCTCTTTAAACAATGGCACGTGACAACAGCAGCTGGTAGGTGGAGCTTCTACATTATCTAATTTTTTATTATATTTTCTTGTACTTTGATATTTTTAAAGTTTAGAATGTGCTAGTAGCCAAAAAATCACCCATATATGTTTTAAAATACTAAAGTGCATAACATGTGACAATAAATATAAAGTTAAAAACATAAACAAGCATACTAACTTTGTTTGAAAGAAAAAAAAACCTTAATTACTGAGTCAAGTTGTTTTATAATATATCATTCTCTTATTTATATAGTATTTGTGAAAATTATTTTCAGTTGTTCAACTAATTTTATTTTTCATTATTAATTGACATTATCATTCATGATTAAATTATAAAACTTAATATTTTGATTACTTTGTTTGATGTGAAACTATATTTTAATCCATATTGGAGATCAGTTATCAGTTATTGGAGTTATTAGTTTTGGTTGAGGTAGTCAGACTCGTCCTTTTGACTTAGACTAACAGATGCATTATGGGATAATTCTATGTATCTTCATTTTTATTCCATATACTCATGATTTAAAAGAATGTACAAAATTCTCACGTTTCCTTGTTTTAAAACAAATTGATTTAACTTCTTGATTTTAGTTTATTTTGATAGTGTTCAAAGTGTTTATTGACTCATCATCAAGTGTTTAAGTGTTCTGATTCATATTAAAAGTTAAACTTGGAAACCTTTAAAACTGATTGCATTTTATATAGAAATCTTTCATTTTATTATAAAAGTAAAGCAAATGAAATACATTACATTACAAATTTGAATAGGTTAATTATCGTAATGTAATAAAATATGTATGAAATCTTTTCTCATTTAGCATTTTATTCTAACTGTGTTCAGAGCCTGTTTAGCAGTTTTTTTAGTTCTTTTAAAAACATGTTTGACATTGCTGGATCTAATGCGGTACAGAATATTATTTCAAAGTATTCTGACCACTCTGAGAAAGATAATCGGTATAGAAATCAAAAACCTTGTACCGTATTTCAGATCATTAACTTTTTTAATGTTAACTCATGTAAGCCAAATTGGTTAGTTTGACTTGAGGAACATTTGAAATGTAGTTATTTCTTCTTTATTAAAATTAAAAAAATTATGAATTGAAAAGCTACTACTAGGTGTACAGGTGCACTTTATGTAATGTGTGTGTGTATATATATGAATTAATTACTTTGTTTTATTCTATACTGTGTAGATTTGATTGTGTTTGAATTTCATGATGTTAATTATTTTACTTAATTATTAAAATGATAATAAATTTGCATAAATTTGAAAATAAGTGATTAGAAGAAACTACAGGATTATCAATAAATTAAAGGGTATTGAAGAATATGATAAATGTAAGTGTGTTTATTAGTTTTTTAAAAGTTTTAGGAATTAGACAGAGCAAACCACAGTCCCCCCCTTTTTTTATTATATTCTTCTTCTTTTGTTAATTCACTAAAATTGAAATGAAATATTTTGATAGGTTTGCTCGGATCAGCTATTGGCATATTTATTTTGGCTATGGTTTATGAGGGCCTAAAGTTCTTGAGAGAATATTTGTATAAAAAAAATGCTTCATCTATTCAATATGCCACTGTTGCTGTTACAAGTCAAAGTGGTGGATCACGTGTCACAGAAATCCAGAAAGTAACAAGGTAAGTATTACTTAATGTAAACCTTCATAATTTCAGTTTGTTAGAGGTTTTTTTTTTCATTTCTTTCATATTTGGAAAAAAATATATTTTTCCTTTCTAATCTTATGTTTATTACTTGAAAACTGATGCTTAAAATTGTTGCCTTAGTAACAGGATATTTTATATGAAATATCAAAGCTAAAACCAAAGTAACAAGATACTACATAAACTCTTTATAGAGCCATTGTCATAGTAACAAGCAGTTAGAAACATTGATGCCTAAACTGATGTTACAATGTTTTGCATGTTTCCACTAAGATATAAAAATATAGGACACCAGTAAATTATCTTAATAAATGTATGCACACAAGACTAATAAACTATTTTGTTAATATAACATTTGGATACTCTCTACACGCGATATTGTATATCTGATTATCTTTGTCAAGATTAATTATGAATTTTTTGTTAAAAATCAAATTCAATAAAACCCTTATGTTTACAATAAAACATTCAACCAAAGAACAGATCAAAACTTCTATAATTACATTTTTGTTTATTTATAAACTTTACAAGTTCTTTTATTCTGTAATTGTGGTAAGATTACTGCACAGTTATTGTTCTACATTACCATAAGTTATGCTGTTGTCTAGATAATTGTTTGTTATTATAGAAACCAGTTTCACAGCTTTTCTTTTAGTAACAGAGAGATAAAAAGAGCTAGAAACAGTTATTATTTACTACTGTTGCAATAGGTAGTCAATATTACTTTGTTTCTTAACACAGAAACAGAATGCTGAGTGGACCACACCTGATTCAGACACTCCTCCATGTTGTCCAGTTTGTGATCAGCTACTTTTTGATGCTTATCTTCATGACATACAATGTGTGGATATGTATTGCTGTAGCACTCGGTGCTGGAGCTGGATTCTTCCTGTTTGGCTGGAAGAAAGCAACAGTGGTGGATGTAACTGAACATTGTCACTGAAGAACTTAAAACTTTTGTGTATGATATTGAATGTTTTATATTTATATTCACATTTGTGTAAATCTAGAAAAAGTTTGACTTTGCTTTTGGGTTCCCAGAAATATATAATTTTAGTATAATTATTCAGATATTTTCCTCAGAATTAAGAATGAGCTCTAGCATGGTAAGAATATTAAATTACATGTCTAAAAATGTATTATATATATATATATATATAGATAACTAATTTTAAA